GAAAAAAGTGGGTTGACGAAACTCCCCGGAGTTGATTTTCGTTTTGTTCACAACTTCATCTGAACATACTGAAGCACCTTATAAAATGACATAAGAGGTTATGCAATGCAATGCAATTATACATATGTTGAAGCTATTTTTATACAGCTATTTCTATTCAATAAAAAATTATTATAAGGCAATGTACCATGGTAGTCTCTCTTGCAAAGCTACTATTCATAGTGTCTTCACATGATATTCCATGCCATGATTTCAAATACTAGAATGTATCTACAAAGACATACATATAGTCACTCCATTGTTGCAATCTACATTTATACAAAAAGCATTTTATAAAGTACATACACAAAGCATTATTACAAAAAACCTATTACAAAACTGTTTAAAGTTTACAACTCACCCTCATCCATTTTACTGGAGAATCTTATCCTGGGCATACAAACAGATCAATTTGTCTTAACAGGTGTTCACGATGGACTGCTTATATCCTATACTCCCACTGAGTGCTTAAAGACAACCTTATACATTATACGGTAACTTTTTGACAATTATTGCTCACATCTATATTAACAATAAATAATACAAAACCACTAGTCTACTTAGTTATTGCATATTTAATAATACAACTTTAATAATACAACTGGCTAAAAGCCTTGTTAAAATCTTCAAATATTATTAAAACTTCTGAGTCCCTGTGCTTACAACTTACACTGACCAAATCAAGCCAAAAGATCCCTGCATAACCTCTTATGTCATTTTGTAAGGTGCTTCAGTATGTTCGGATGAAGATAAGAGCAAGGCCACAAACCGGTACTGAGTCAGAAAGCCGAGGGTTCCGTCCACAGGTCTGGGGAAACAAGGAAGACAGGGATTCAGAATCAAGGCTTGGGGTTCAATGGAACAGGCAAGGTCTTGGTTCCTAAACTGGAAAACAAACACAGGTTAGCAAAACAGGTTAGGCACTCCTTTGTCTCTCTCAAGCTGTCAAATGCATCTGACATCTCCTATGCTCAGCCGGCTCGGGAGATTCAGGCAGTGAGTGGCAACCCTTGTCACCTGAGATGTCTTTTGAAGAAGAAGAACAGAGATTCACTACCCAAAGGAGTCTCAGAGCGGCTTATAAACTCCTTTCCCTTCCCCTCCCCACAACAGACACCCTGTGAGGTAGGTGGGGCTGAGAGAGCTCTGACAGAAACTGTTCTTTTTCAAGAACACTTCTGGCAGAACTATGGCTTGCCCAAGGTCATCCAGCCAGGTGCAAGTGGAGGAGTGGGGAATCAAACCCGGTTCTCCCAGATTAGAGTCCATGCACTTAGCCACTACACCAAACTAGCTCCTTTTGCTGGCTCTGCCTCTAAATCTAGCTGTTTGGGCAGGCATTCCACCACTGCATGGCTTGACTTCTCCATTTCCCCATCCTCAGAAGAGGAGATGGTTGACTGGTTCATGACAACTGGTCACACAAGGCTGTCATCTGGCCAGATGTCACTTGCATGGCCCTGAGCCCTGAGTCCACCTAACACCCAAACCCGAGCAGGGGAGAGAAGTTCACAATCAGGAGGGTATAAAATGTGGGTCCTCACTTAGCCAAGGCACCCAGTAGCTAAGCCCCACAACTCAGTGTAAGCAGACAGGTAGGGTAGCTCAGAGTCCTGAGTCCACCTAACACCCAAACCCCAGCAGGGGAGATAAATTCACAGTCAGGACGGAGGGTATAAAACGTGGGTCCTCACTCAGCCAAGGTTCCCAGTAGCTAAGCCCCTCTGCTTGGCGTGAGCAGAGAGACAGGGTAGCTCAGAGCCACCAAAACCCCAGCAGGGGAGAGTTCACAATCAAGAGGGAATAAATGAATGTACTCTGCTAGTCTGCTTTTAACAAGTTCCCTGCCTCTCTGTGTAACTGCCAACAGCCAACAGAAGAGAGGCTGTGGAGCTGTGAGTATATATAGCATTCTGATCCCATTGAGCAGAATGGGAACTATGTTATTGGGAGCCAGCAGTGCCTGTTAAGCTTTGGAAGGGTCCTATTGCTTTTTCCAAGGCTGGAGAATTCCACCCCCACCCCCAACTTTGAAGTTTTTTAAACAGTTCAATTGAGTGAAGATAGTCTATCTGGAAATATACCCATTCACAAACAGCCATGAACAACACCAAAGTTTGTGAAATGTTTGCTCCGGGCACCCTTCCATGAACACCATTTCACAAACCACAAACCGGGGGGACTTGGCAAGCCTATCTGCAGAAGGTACATGGATTGCAGAACAGGCAGCTGAATACATTTTTTTTGAACTGGTCATTAATTGATCTGGGAATAACAAGAACCTGTCCTTGTTTAATTGCTGTGGGAAGGTGGCATTTTAATTAAATAAATACTTTAATAAATAGGAGCAGTATTAAAAATGATTGCAGCCTCTTGTAGTTCGGTTTCTAGTTTCTTCAGCTCTTTAATATATATTTTGTGAGAGGTGGTGTAAGTGATGACGAAGATAGATTTTAAGGATGTCCCACAAAATGAGCCTGGTGAATTCATGCATAACATTGTAGTTAGGAAGTCTTTAAAATGGAGCTCCATTTCCTTTTTAAAGGTCAGGGAGTCCATGAGTGGTTGCTGGGGAGGAGGCACGGCTGGCACAGAGGAGGGTGATGATTGGGTATGCCCTTAGTTAGCATCCTGAGCTGCTAGGGTTCCTGTGGGTGTGGCCGCAGAAGTGGGGGGTGGAAGTATTTTTCACATACAATGGCCGCCTATGGGCTATGCCACCATTTTAATGGCACAACTCTGTGCCTGTTTTGAATGGTGTTCTTGTGCTGAAAGTGCTTAGGAAGCCATCTAAATACAGCTATGTCCCCTGGAATGTCCACATGGGTGACAGCTGAATGGTGAAAAACAGTGAAACAGTGGTACTAGTGCCCCGCACCAGCATAACTGGCCCTTATGCCAACATAACTCAGATTTATGCTGGCATAAGGGTCAGTCGGTTCCCAGGGCCAATTCCTCCCTTAGGATTGCGCTGTTTGTTGATTAATTTTGTCTTAAGTTTGTGAAAAATGTAAACCATTTAACCATTTCAATGTAAAAGTTTATTTTGGAAGGGGAAAGGCCTGCATATTAAATAGATTTTTATTTTTATTTGTAGCCTGCAGAATCAAATGCTATTCAGTTTCAACAAGTCACCTCCAAATTCTAGTCAGCTGGCATTGTGTACTGAAAACGGTATACTGCAAACATTGCCACAGTTTGCTGTTATAGTTAAGCAGTAACTGAACTCTAGAAAATTGTAATCCAATATTTTCAATAATTAGAATCCAGGTGGATCTTGAGTTCCAAATCAATAGTTCAGGTATCATTGAAGTGAAATATCCCTTAAATGAAACTATGAAGTTTTGAAATAAGGAATGCTATGTATGGCAAAGCAGGCAACAAATGACAGATGATTTTGAACTGTTGTATATGTGGCCATATGCATGGGCAGACTTTGGCAGCCCCCCCTTCAGCATATGGTAACAGAATTGTGTGCATAATTGCTACCCCTTGAACATTCAACCTGGACCCAAGCCAGATCCTGTTGTGAGCTTTAGGATGTACATGATGGACTCACATGTGACAATGTGAGCCTATCCAGGCATGGCTTTCCCTATGGCCACAGCATGCCGGACTAGGTCCAGACAGTGTGCTAGCTATTGACCTCAAAATAATTTACTCTATCAGTCCAATTCTATTAATGTTTATTTAGAAGTAAATCCCACTGTGTTCAAAGGGACTTTCAAGTAAAGTATGCATGGTATTGTAGTCTAGTGCCCCGGTCACACGGGCCGGATATCGCGCACAGGGGGGGAGGCATGGCTAATTGTCCCGGTGCAGTTTGATCTGCGATTACGCAATCAGACATGCCGGCAGCACACCACGGATCCTTCCCTCGGCGCCGGCAGGTAAACGAGGGACCGGAGGGAATACCGTGCGCTGGCGCAATTACACCACGGGCGTCTGGAGGCAGCCCGTGGCAAACGTTTACTAGTACCTTGGAGGTACTAGTTTTTTAACGCACATTGTCGGCAGTAAGCCAGGGGTGCGCTCCACTTCCCAGATGTTGGGGTGTGATTGTGCCCGGATAATCTGCCCACCATCCGTGCCTCTCCCGCGGCTGACCGGGGCCTTGGTTTACCAATCTTCTTCAAGACTCCTGAGCTACTACTACCTGCATAAAAAGAAAAAAATTGGCAGGCAAAGCTATTACTATTACTGTTTTGTTTCCTTACCAGGAAAATATATTTTTGATAATTGTGGGCTTGTTTATGTTTGCAGGTGGTGTGCTTGATTCACACATTTTACTGCCACATTCGAAGCCCTGCTCTGAAAATCGCAATCACATATAGAAAAAGTAACGCAAGCTGTGGCACACCCATGCAAATATGTGACATTCCCAAGCAAGGGTTCCATTCCCATATTATTCAGTTCCTTCACTTATGCTTGGAAGCAGAATCGAAGCAGTGTGCCCACATTAACATACTTCATTCACACAGTTGCACCAAGTATGCCACTTTGCTCAGAGAACTTTAGATGTTATGAATCAGGTCCAAGTCTCAAATCAATTTAGAGAATATATGCTGGTAGCTGTGGTGGCCCACAGCAAAACAATAAACCACTTGGTAACTCTAATTTGACTTCTGCTGCTCCTTTTGGAGGAGGAGTTATGCCTCTATTTTAGGCCTCCACTTTCCCCCTCCATAGAACAAGTACAAACAACGACATCATGTCGGTATAAAGTTCCATATCAAGCTTTCGTTTCAAGTGGTGGTGGAGGCGGGCTGTCATTCCGTGAACATCAAACTCCCCGGGCTTGACCAAAATGGCCGTTTTAGGCCGCCACTCGCCTGCCGTTTCGGCGCGGGGGCTGCTGTGAGGGAACCGGGAAGCAAGGTGGCTGTTTTTTCTCGTCAAGGCAGGGGGCGGTAGTGAGCTCCTCGTGCCGTGAATAGGGCTGGGGCGCGGGAGGAAGAGACTCAGGAGCCAGGGTATCATCGCTCCGGAGGAGGTAGCGTGTGTGTCGCGTCCCATGGTGAGGCGCAGGGCGCTGTGGAGCTGCTGTTTGGGGCTCTTGTCGAAACCTTCAGTAGCCTGCGGGTGGCCGGTAAAGCAGCAGCGTGGCCGTAGTTGGAGAGCCAAGCAGCAGCAGGCGGAACCACCACCCGGGAGGACTCGCAGCCCGGTTATGGACGACGAGGAAGACGAAACCCCGCAGGAGAGGTGAGAGGCCGCTGCTTTGCAGGACATTTCCAGGGGGTGCTACAAAAGGCAAAGCACTCTAAAGCCGGACCCATGGCGGGAGTCCGCTGCATCGGAAACAAATGGGGATTGTAATGCGGGAGCGCCTAAAAAGACCTGCGAGGGTTTACCCCGTTCAGCTTTGATGGGCTTCGTCAGAAGCAGCGGCGAGGGTCTTCCTTAAACAGACATTTACACATTCTAGAATTATATTCATACATGCCAACAATAGTACACCGAGAACCGCCTGCCTCCGTGGCATCTGTCTCTAAGCGGGCTCTCTGGTCCATGGACATGGATGCAGGATTAAACCGGTGAAAACCTTCCAGGTGCCACAGCCCTCCCTGTCTCTTTTAGCTGAGATTGCCGATGGTGACGGCAGGTTGCTTGACTAGGGAAAAGGGTAGCCGATAAGGCAGCCAGTTTTACTTGCAGGTGCGTTGGTCTGCGTGCCAGTATGCGTTTACTTTCAGGCGCGCGCACCAGTCGTCCCCCCCCGCCCCCCCGTTCCTTCTCTTGAGTTATCCCCTCCCCCGATTGCACCGTAACTCTCTGGGATGGCAGTCCTATTTCCGCCTCTTCATCCGCAGGGTTCAAAGGGCATCGTCACAAAGTGCGCTAACGGATGTTGACCCAAGGCGGGCCCCCCCCCCAGCGTGCCTCAGTGGCATTCACTCCCCATGAAGTTGTGCTATCGCGTGAAAGCCGCTGATCTGCGCGCGGAGCTTAGTCTTGAGGGAAAGCATACACGGAATGAGGCTGCAGTTTTAAACTGGAGCCTGCCTTGAGGTATTCGTGTCCTGCGTGAATGTTGCAGGATATAGAGAGATTGGAATGTGTTTTTGCTAGTGTAGAGTCTATTCACTTTAAAGATCAATGTAGACTTTATGTGAGCATGCCTGTCAGTTTTACAGTTGAAATGCGATTACAAAAACTGATTTTACACTTAAGTGAAAGTGACCTTAACATGGGAATTGCAGATGTTAGAAAGGCAAGACTCTGGTTTATGTATTGCTTGCAGAAAATAGCTCAGGTTGATTAAATAGCCTTACTGCTTCCTGCCTCAACTGGCTAGTGGATGGAGCCCCTGCCCATAATTTACATCCGTCACCCTAGTTGCCACCTCCCACTTCCCAGCCATCTGTTCTGTTTCATATATTTGCTGAAGTTCTAAGGCAAGGCAATAGGCTGACAGAGGGCTTTCTGTATCCTGAATTGTGTCTGAACTTGGGGAGAAGAAGGTGCATCCTTGCACCTCAGTGTCTTAGAAGATCAGACGATAATGCAGATGGCATTTAGGCTTTTCCTCAACTGTTGTGTTTGAAAACAAATGTAGGTGTGTGCTTGGGGTTTTTGTGAAAACCAGAAAACCAAACTGTTTGTACTGCAAATCAGTAGAGGGCTTGAGAACCAGGAGAGATTGGCTGGAACCCATCTCTGTGCCACAAAAGAGCTTAATCCTAGAATCATTTCTGGTTTACTACAGTTTAGTAGTAATACATTCCTGTTTGAAATATCACTGCATGTTTTAGAGGGTTTTTTTTTAAATGAAAAAGTCATTTGTAGCACTCATCTCAGATTCTCTTCTTTAAAAAAAAGTATGAAGCTGTTAAAACATAAGCCTCCACTGCACCCAATCATTGCTCCCTGTCCTGCCTCTACAGGGGAGAGGTGTCATTTTTAACTGATGAATGAGACTCGATTGAAGAATGGAAGCCTGGCGCACATCAATTCAGTTGCTATAGTTTTAACCCTCTCCTTTGTTGACATGGAAATGTGCTGCAGCAGTCTTCCAGAAGCTTGTTACATAACCCCCTCCTCCCAAATGTGTATGCCTTACTGTACTGATGACTTATTTAAAATTTGCACATAAAGGCAAAAATCCTGTATATGTGTATTTATGGTCACCGTGGATCTTCTATGGAAACCAAACCTAAAATTTAAGATGAAATGTGTAAAGTAAGCTCTGTTCAATAGCATAGCGTTTGTTAGAGTTGGCAACTGGCCCTCATTTTTTATTTGTCCAATGTGTCATACAACAAACAGCTTGCTAGCCAACTCACTTTAAATGAAGATGGATAGCCATGTTAGTCTGTCTGTAGCAGTAGGAAAGAGTCCAGTAGCACCTTAACATTTGTGAAAGGGTATGAGCTTTCATGACTCACTTTACTTGGAATTGGATGTTTAGTGCAAAAAGAAAGAGCGTTCTGTCAATCTGATTTGCTTTGTTAATGATAAAATGCAAAGGAAAGTTTTGAATCTGAATATTAAAAACATTAATTAGCTTCTTTGTTCAAGGTACCACAGTTGTACATTCAGGGTGGCATATATTTTAATCTAGAAGGGTATATGCTACCTCCCACTTAGCTAACTGTCTCCATTTTTCATTGGGGCATATTTCTCAAACTTAATGAAAGCACATCCTCTTTTCAAACTTAATATATCTTCCCCAGGGTCCTCAGTGAATTTCTCTGCCTGCCTCCTTTATGCTCTCTGCATCTTATTCATCTTTGTAGCTCCTATTCACTCTTACACACTCTCCTGCCCCTTTCTGTTACTAAAGGCAAAGGTTTTCCTTGCTTGAAAGCTAGTCGAATCTGACTCTAAGGGTGGTGCTCATCTCCATTTCCAAGTCGAAGAGTCAGCACCGTCCGAAGACGTTTCCGTGGTCATGTGGCCGGCATGACTAAATGCTGAGGCGCATTATCTTCCCACCAAAGTGGTACTTCTTTATCTACTTGCAATTTCTTGCTTGCGAACTGCTAGTTTGGCAGGAACTGGGTCCAGAGACGGGAGCTCACTCTGTCATGCGGCACTCGGGTCTTGAACTGCTGAACTACATACCTTCCGGTCTGCAGTTCAGCATCTTAACCTCTGACTCCTAAATATTCTGTGTGCCCCATAACTCCTAAATATTCTGTGTGCCACTTCATATCCAGAATGAATTAATGGGGCATTTATCTGATGGGCTTGTGACTACATTTCCACACCCCAAACTTGAACCTTAAGCCTTCACTGTTTGTTTGTTACTAGTAAGGCACAAAGTCTACACACTCTCCCTGCACACAGGTGACCCATGTTTCGGATTTTTATTACATCATTCATATCCGACCTTTCTCCACAGTGGGCACCCACAGCTGCTTACATCATTCTCCTTTCCCCTGTTCTATCCTCTCAACAACCCTTTAGTGTGTGTCTGGGATTTGACCTCAGTGTCTTTGATCCTGGTTCAGCACTAACCACTACACCATGCTGGCTCTTTTATAGCCAAAGGACTCTAGTTGTCCTCTAGAATGTTGATGTACAAACTGCAAAATTTAGGCAAGGGAGGAGTGAAATTCTGTCACAATCTTCCTGGAAGAATCAAGGGAACGCCTACTTCTCCAGTTTTAAAATTAAGGTGTATGCAATTTCATGATTAATTTTAATATGATGCATTGTGAATATCAAACAGAAGTAGTTCATTATTGTTGTTGTTGTTGTTGTTATCTGCCCTGTTGTCTTCAACTTTCCCTCCTTCCCTTCCCAAGTAGCCTATACCCAAGAAAACTGGCCCAGGTGGGGAACCTGCAAGGACTTGTAGTGGACACCTCATTTTCCTCTGTATTCCCTTCCCCATA